CTCTCTCTCTCTCTCTCTCTCTCTCTTTCTCTCTTGTTTACGTCTCTTCGATCTCTCGGATTCTCGTTCATATAAAAACGACACACGTGAAAATCATTCGGTGCTACTTCTCATATCGCGGGTGCATTCATAAATTGTAGAGATCTGTGAAAATGAAAAAAATGCGGAATGTTGTCTAATTACAAAAAAATGTGTGTTTCTTCATTAGACTAATTGAAGAAGTTAAGAGTTTCATTTTATCTCCTTTCATTAATTTTGTCGATGTCCTTTAAAATGCACGACAAACTACTAATATCCCAAAGTTCTAAAATTTCTTAAAAAAAAATTAAAAAAAAAAAGTAAAAAGAAAACGTTACATTTTTTTAAATTGCGTCCTTCTCCCAATAGTTCATCCGTGATGTCGTTGTCATTCTTGCTATTCTCCTCGCCGTCGCGGTCAATCGTGACGATACCTGCTCCAGCTTCGGTGGAGAGCCGGCACGGAGAGCGCGATGGCGTAGTGGGCAAGTGGGCGTAAGGGCCGGGAGAGAGAAACACGCCGTCCCGTGTTCCATACATGGCTATGCTATGTGGAAACCGAGAGACACACAGAGAGACGGACGGACGGACGGACCGACATGGACCGGGGGAGTCCCCACCGTGTGGACGGCGGAGGCGACGTTTTCTCGTCTCTCGAAGCGGTCCCCGAGCCATGCTCCTTGACGCACAGTGTCTCGCAGTGGCACGCATATCGTACGATCATTCGTACGGTCATCCTACTGTTCGGGCATTCATGTCACCGCGCGATCCTCCTCCGGCCGAGTCGACGCGGCGTTCGTTCTCCGCGCGATAATTCCGCGATCAGGACGCACATTTTCGATAAATTATGCCCCTCACGTGCGACACACATCTGCACATCCCATGCGGTGAACGGTGAACCTCAACGATCGTCGTTGACTGATTGGGATCGTACAATTTCGTACTGCCGGTGCGAATCCCTCGGAGAAATCTCGCGTGCAACAATTATGCGACGGTATCGCGAGGGATAAAGGGATACCGGAAAAGTGAGAGCTTTCGGGGCCGTCACATTCCGTCAAAAACAGGGTGACAGGAGATAAGAGAAAAGAGCTCGTAGAAAATCTCCAAGGGACGGGATATGATACCAGGAGATATTCAAATTTCTAAGGATCCTTCTTCGTCGATATAGCACGATGCACGATGCATTCGCGAACACTTGACCGGCGTGGGTGCTACTGGTTTCCTCCTCCGCTTTGAGACCGAGGTCAGGTGTGGGAGGGTGCAAGGGTTGGCAACACGTTCGAGACTGACACATTACACATTAGAGGTACGTACTCTCGCTTCAGCATTTTCAGCAAATATTATAACGTAGTTTTCTGCACAAGAATATTCGACGTAACGTTTACGTAAAATATTTCGATATTTCCTGTGGCAAAATGCATAATTAAATTATTGCATTTGTATTGAATGAAACTTACGTGATACGCGTACATTTATTTCAAGAAAAGTATATTGCGTATAAAACGCATTAGTTTTTTGCGTTTAATCAGCCTCCTCCAAAGCTTTGGCTCTTCTGGCCAACCGTTTTTCAAATTTCTCGAGAGTCTTTACCATCTCCTTCGTAGGATGTTGATACTTCAATATTTCATTCATAATCTCCATCGGATTTAATGGGTTGGATTTAAGAGTGATTCTTCGGCGCAGCGACAGCACTTTTTCCACAGCCTGCCGGATAAAATTCATAGGAATCCCGATGGACATTTTGGCCAGACAGGACACATCGATATTGCGATCGACACCGTGATATTTCATCAATAGATTCTTGTAGTACATGTATAACGTATTGTAGTCGGGGGGAGGCACCATTATAAATTTATCATGGAACCCGATAAAAGCGGCCGTCGCCTTTTGCGGTGCTTCGGACAGCGAGAGAAATAGTATCTGTTGAATGAATTTGTTATGATTAGTAATAATTGGTATAACAAAAATTGGATTTCGTTTACGCATGCATTGCTCGGTAAAAGAAAATAAATTAAATGGATTGAAGAGAATTTCCTTCAACGTTCGCGAATACGTACTTCTGAAAATTTGAATCTGACTTCAATGCCTAATATCTTTGTATCCATTTATAGAAATTGAAAGAAGCACATTTTCTTTGTCTTTCAATCCAGAAATAGGTTCAATTTTAAAAACTGAATCGTTAATACTGCTCGATTCAAAATTCTACGTAGAAAATGCAGATTTTCCAATCCAATTGAATTCAGAAAAAGCTTTTCCCTAAAAATGGATTCAAATATTCATTTACATGAATATTTAAATGGATTTAAAGTTATAAGCACTCGGATGAATTAAATTTTCAATCCATTTTAGTCCATTTTCATTTACCGGATGGATATTCTTTTAGCGTAATATTCTTAAATTTTATATCATTATATTTCATTACTTTTATCTTGCGATTTATTTATTTTAATTCTCACAAATCTAAATTAAAATCCGGAATAAAATACGCCAGTAGATTAATGCGTTTCTATAAATATCATTCTGCCTTCTACGATATTACGCCAGTGAATAACAGTAGTCTGTCCGGAATTTCCAACACTCTAAATCCTACGTTAACTCGCCGCCACCTACGTCCTCATACGATTATATATACAGGTAGGAGGTGTTTCATTGATGAGCAACGTCGAGCGATCGAGATGAGAGGTCCGAGCGGTGCAGGAGAAAGAAAAAGAGAGAGCCCGGTGTATGTGGATTCGTCGAGGTGGCGGCGAGTTCATTCATATTGAAGAAAGATCTCGGGAATAACAAGAATTTTACAAAGTGGGCGTTGCTCGATTACGTTCGCTTTGATACAGCCCTCCAATTTAGGAGTGTCACCCCGAGTTCTCACGAACTATATATTTCTAATAAGTCTAAAATTCTTTTAAACATCGAAACAACGAATTGCTGAGAACGACATAGACATGGAAAGAGGGATCGTGATATTAATACAAAAAAATTACAATAGAAAATAATGAAATTACTAGAAAAGTAACAAATTGTTTTCGAATCTTTGTAATTTTACCTGGTCGCCCGGTTGGATTTTTTTGACTAGTGTAACAAAGTACTTCGCGAATCGTTTGGGTTGAAGATACATTTCCTCTGGCGGAACTTTTCTCAGCCAAGGTTTCTCGCCAGCGTCGAGATAAATAATAGAAGGTGCATAGACACGGGCTACTTTAGAAATCATGTCGATAAGCCTTTGCTGTTCTTCTTTGCCTATATATTTATCAACCAAAACAGGCGCCGACACATCGAAGAGTAATGCACCAACCTAGGAAAGTTTCAAAGAGATTAGGAATACGTTTTTTCTTTATTAATATAATAATAACATTGCAACGTACAAAGTATAAAGTATTGATGAAAAGTATTGATGAAAAATTGATATTTCTGATACTGGTATACATTTTAGTGATTGTTTTATTAATAATTACAAAGAAAGATATGTACGAAAAAAAAGAAAGGAAGAAAGAGAGGAAGACAAGATGTTACTTCTGTGCAAATAGCATTAGCGAGAGAAGTCTTTCCGGTTCCCGGTAATCCCCAGATGCACACAGAACGCACGAGTGGTGCGATTTGATGTGTCTCCTTGGAAATTAAAGGTAACACGCAATACTCTAAGACGAGCTGCTTTACTTCTCCAAGTCGATGCCTATAATCCCGAAGCTCCTGACGTGCTTCATAATTTTGATAAGAGAGATCGCCATACCAATCACGCAAAAGAATAATTGGGTAGTTCCTAATAATTTTAGCCTGTAAAAGCTCGTTGAGGAAGTCCTTAACGTTTTCATCTTCTAAAATATCCTTCTTTTTCTTTATTTTGAGTTTCTCAATATCTTTCATTATATAATCTGTCACAATAATCAAACAAAATCCAAATTTTGCATATATTAATTAATAAATAATTCGTAACAGGTCTTCATTAAGATCACCTCTGTGCATTGTTGGAATCGTAAATTTCTTCTCATCATCTGCGTGATCTTTCAGTAATGCCTTATTTAATAATTGTAGTTCGGCTCTCATAAGCTCGTCTACTATCTCTCTCATTTCAAGCTGCAACTCGTAACAAAGCTTTTGGGTGATCAGATCTAAATATTCCTTTTGCTCCGGATTATCTTCTTCGTTGCGAAGACTCCAATTTCGGATAAATTCGTTGTTTGCTTCTTCTAAGCAGGACAGAGCATCCGTTTGCGGCATTTTCCATTCAGGCTTTTCGCCTTTGACAGGTTCGGTTTTAAGTGTAGGCGCCTCAGCCTTTTTGCCTGCTTGCTTCTCTTTTTCTAATTTTTCCATTAAATATTCCTGTGGCGTCAAAGTTTGCCCAGTCGCGATCAACACACTGCCACCAAGATCTGCCGCCGGAAATGCATCGTAATGTCCTACCGCGTCGTACCAGATTATGAACCACTCGTGAAGTTCATCGGTAATGTCCTCCATTATTCCGGGACCTCTGATTCTTAACAGCTTTTAAAAATCAATTAGTTTTTAAACTCATATTCTTTTTTATTTTCATTTTTTATTTTCTTCTTTTTTATTTTTTTTTTTCTATTGACCATGTAATAAATTAGAAATTCTCTTTGGAAAACTTACTTTCGCACGTTCGTCGTCGGTTGCCTTTGCGGTACGCGCGTCGAACACGGGCATCAGAGCACGTCGTCGCTGAAAGTTGTCATCATCCTTCGCGATTATTTTGCGACATTGCCAGCTTGGTATTATCATCCCCAACATCTCTTCAAGACGCGCGATACGTCTTTTTATAGCTTTTTTAGCGGCATAGAGCCGCCATGCGCGTTGTATCGTTATTATTGATTTAATGTACTTGGTGCGATCTATTTTCTTCGGTGTTATCTCTCCAAATTTTACTTTTCTGTTGTAATCGAACATACGCTTCACTGTGAAACAATTTAGCAGCATTAATTAATAGACAAGCGTAAAAAAAAGATTGATGAACATCCGAATAGCATCTTTTTCATTCATGCGATATTCTGTTTGAAAAATTTCATTTAATAAAGTTATTTATTTTTTTTTCAAGTACCGTCTGCCCCGTAGCTGCGTCCCTTTCTGGCTCTCTCATGACGTTGTATCAATAACATCGCATCGCGCATACTTTTTTCGGCAGCAAGTTTCGCTTCCCGGGCGGCTTTTTCCTCGGGTGTTTCGCGAACCATTTCTACTTCGGGTTGCGCGACGCGTATTCTTCTTCGCCCGATGCGCGTCTTCAATGTCTCATCATCGACCTCGGGCACACTTTCTACGTATGTTGGTGTGGGTTCTTCCACCTGCGGTGCTAGAAGATTAAATTAAAAAATTTATTTAAATTTTTTTATATAATTTACATTCGAAAATTTGAATTTTAATTTTACCAATATATTTTCAATATATTTCAGCTTCTTCTAAAATTTTAAAAATTTAAACTTTTCTTTTGCAAACTTTTGTAAGCACCTTCTATCAACTCTTGAATAAACTTTTTGCGTTCCTCTGCACGTTCCCGGCCGGATACCGATGCGAATAGCTCAATATCGTCTGGCGTAAATTTCAATTGATTCATGATATCGTCAGGCCATCTGTGTAAACAAAATATTTCTTTAGAAATTAAAGATAATTGAATAAAAATGAAAAAAACGTACGTATAATCCGTATAATCCAGTTTGACAATTTCCTGTTTATATTCCAGCATTCGTCCAATAGCACAGTCTAATACTTTTTTAATTAACTCTCGTTTTTGCGTCTGGACCATTTGATCGTAACATATGATGAGTCTTCTTACGATATTACGATATCTGTATATTAACTCAAATAATATTCAGTCAGTGATTTTAAGTCAATGATTTTAATGAAAAATTGTTAATGAAGAAGTGCGCATTGGATCATTTATATAATATTTAGAATTTGTTACACACACACACACACACACACACATACGCACACATGCGTAAGATTTTTATAAATTAAATTTGAGCACGTGCCTTAAATACATAGATAACGCTGAATTTAAAGCATCCTTGTTTTTTAATGGTTCGCTTTCTTGCAATCTTCGTTCGAGCTCTAACAACTTTTCCAGGTCGTTTCTTGTGATGAGCCATAACTCGGTATAATAAGCGTGAGACATTAAACTTAAATATACTTTTTATGAATGTGTGTTGTAGGATTTTTTTTTGTAATATCTCGCACACTCGTCGCAATTTGGAGCTTGTTACTTCTAAATTATGGTTAGCAGTAATTGGCGTTTAAGAATGAATTTGCGTGCGTCAGCTAAAACAAAATCGAGATTTTATACTTTAGCAGTATTACTTGTCAAGGCGTATAATAAAAAAAATCTTTTTTATATAATAGAAGCTCGTAAATGCAATATATACATATTAATTATTTTATTCCAGGATGCCGAAATTATTTCAAAACCTGCTCATCTTAGGATTGGTAATGACGTCATGTCTCGACGCGATAGAAGACAATGTCACAACAACGACAACGAGAACGTCCACGTTAACAGCAACATCAGCCAATACGTCCACGATCGAGGAAAATACATCTTCGTCATCTTCGGCGACTGTGATAACGCAAGATGATGGCATCCCGAAAAATCTATCCCACGCATCTCCGTTACTATCGCCATCGCCATCACCATCGCCATCGCCGTCGCCGTCGCCGACGCCGTCATCATCGTCGTCGCCTTCCCCTGACACTGTGTGGGAGTGCCCCAATATCACAAAAGCAGGCGTAGAGTGTTCCTGCGACTTTCCACACACGCTCAGATGCACTGGCGATAGAACGGCATTACAAGTAATTACAATAATAAACCATTGCATATAGCAATGTATGGTTATTATTTAATATTAATCGGCATGCCAAATTGAGTTAGTTCCCTTTGATTAAACCTATATAAACCTTTCTCGAGGAAAATCTCAGAAAATATGCCAAAAAATGAGTCGAGTTTAATGTCTAATGTCTAATGTTACGCTTCGCGGCACAATCGAGGTCGTTACTTTTTAAGCAACGTCCAGGAAGAGCGTGGGTGAGTATAGACTGCCAATGAAATACAAGTCGTATACATATATTATTCAAGAGCCCATTGTGCTCGCTTCTCTTTTTCTCCCTTTCCTCTTCTCCGCTCGACCTCGCTCATTTCGTCTTGCTCGATAGCATCCACAGCACGTTGTTTTATGCTGAATAGATATCCTCTCGATGTTGATATTTTTATCGTAAATCTAAGAATTATAAAATATAGAATTAAGAGACGTGGCAGCGATGTGTAAATTCTGAGATAAAATTCTGACAGAAAAAAGAATTTTATTCTTATCGTATTTATTGCTCTCTTCTTAGACCATCAACGAGCATTTGAAGCACAGTCGACCGGACGCAATATCATTGCTGGACGTGACTGTGACAGGGATTTCCGTGTTGCCGGCACGTTTCCTTGAGGATATAGCACTTCATGGCTTAGTCGTATCCACCGGCGAGCTGCGACACGTCCACGAGGACGCCTTTGCCGCACTAACGCGACCATTACAAGCGCTAGGACTGCCTAGCAATCTCCTGGACACAGTTCCCACGATCGCACTATCACATCTAATCGGTCTGGATCGATTAGATTTATCTCATAATAAATTGAAAACGTTAGAGGCGGATTCGTTCAAGGTGCGATTAGTTTGTAAAAAAATTAATGACGAATTATTAACGAAACTCTGCTTAAAATCTGCTTGTGCAAATTAGCTATTTAAGCAGTTTTATAGAGAAAAAAAATAAATTCAGAAATTATATTAAAAAAATATGAATTAGAAACAGTAACCATAAAATATACTTATGATAAATAAAAAAAAAAAATAATAAACTCGATTAAAGAGTCAATAAAACATTCTGTTTCAGGGATTGTCAAGTTTGACTTATCTGGATTTGTGCGATAATTTGCTGTCACAGTTATCGCCGCAGGTTTTCCTGACATTGCCAATGTTACGTTCGTTAAGAATGCGAGGAAATCGCCTAAGCGTTTCCGCCTTATCGGCGCTGAGAGGTCTAAAACGTTTGGAAGAGCTGGACCTGTCGAACAATCTGCTGTTAGGTCCAATGGGTCCTAATTTATTGCCGCAAATGCCCAAATTACATTTCCTCACAGTTTCAGAGAATGGTCTTGTCAACGTTCAACAGGGGGCTCTTATGGGTCTTAAAAATCTTACTTATTTGAGCTTGAGTCACAATCAGGTGAGTGTCAATTCAAAAAGTTAAGTCAAATTAGATTCTCATCTGAAATAGTATAAAAGAGAGATTGTTTCAAAATGATTTTATTTTAAGTCGTTAAATATTGATTTGCTAGATCGACGTGCTAGAGGATCATTCGTTTAAGTACCTGACAACCTTGACGCGTTTGGACCTGGCAAACAATCGCATCGTCGCCGTCTCCAGCGCTTCCTTGGCTCATCTAGAAAAATTAATTAGTTTAGATCTAACGCACAACTTTCTGCGAGCGTTGACGGCCGATCTGGTAGTGCCACTAAAGAGTTTGCAGGATCTTCGGTTGGACGACAACGACATCACAATCGTGGCAAGCGACGTGCTAACATCAAAACTGCGTCTCAAGAGGCTCTCTCTCGCAGATAATCCCTTAAATTGCGACTGCACCCTGTTGGAGTTCGCTAATTGGCTGGCAAATTCCAGCCTGACAGAGGAGGACAAGTCATCGGCAGTGTGCGCGACACCACCAGCTTTGGAGAACGGTATCCTAACGCAGGTGCCGCCAGGCAGTCTGCTCTGCGGTGAACCCACGCCGCCGGCAGGTGCGCAACTAAGTCTTAAAGAATTCCATTACGACGAATCAACCGGTATCAATTTGTTATGGCATGTGGAACAGTGCGCTGAACGTTACACCTGCGATTCGCTTATCGTCTATGAAACTGTCGGCGACAGCGAGATTCAAACGGAGTCCAGTCCGTTGCATTGTGACTCCCAGATGATGCGAGATCCCTGCACCCTTCCCGTCGCCATACCAGCTTCTCTGCATTTACAATTAGGTCACAAGTACCGTTATTGCGTAGTCTTATTGGTACCCACTGCCTACGATGATGTGTCACTTGGTCTCGGCTGCAGTGACGTTATCGTCTTGGAAAGGACGACCCAGCAGGAGGTAACGACGGAAGAGTATCAGTATACGAAAGAAGAGGACATTTATTCTCTGACATCCACGCAAACATCTCTTGATGCTTATTTGCGAATCACCGGTATTCATGTAAATGTATCTGATAAGGGTTATCTACATATCAATGCAGTTCTGTCCAAAGCGAAAAATACAACTTCATTATCAGTCTGTCAACTATCCGTCATCGTGTTCGACGAGGTCTCCGTAGTGCATCGACAGAGGTTGAATTGCAGCGCCACGTTTGTCCCCGACATCGAGATATCATTGCCCGGCTATTACAGAGTGTGCGCTAGTCTGGACGAACCTACCGATATTGTCGTTATGTCCAGCAATTTGGTGGATGACCACGAGAGATTCCGTTGCGTCGAGCTACTCGAGCAGGGTTACAGCAGACAGAACATAGAGGTGTTGATCGTCATGGCCGTGGTCGCTGCCACTGGCATTCTCCTCATCACCCTTGCCGTGCTTGGTAGGAATCTTGCAAGGCGTTTGCGACATCCAAGGATACAAGCGCAATGCTTCTTGCCGGCCCAAGAGTTTGAGATCACCCACAAAGCGCATTATATCAAACTCTTGGCAACGACGAAAGTTTAACGAGAAGGATATCGTTTGATCGATGAATATCGCTTTCGAAATCAAAATTCTGAATTTATAAGAATTGAAAAATGAAGATATAAAAGCAAAGCTCACACACATTTTCTCTTTCTTCCTATTTAAATATTGAATTAAAAGTATAATTTTATTTTCTGTATTTTATAGATTATGTTATTTCCAGACAAGGATATGTAAGAAAAATAATTTTAATGTATATTTAGTTACTTAAAATGGTTTGTATTTTTATATGTATACGTTGTTTTTATATATATATATATATATATAT